CATGCGCAACAAAAACAAATCATGAAACCTAACTACAGTGACACAAGGCAAAAACAAAGCCACGATAATTCTAAGAAAAAGAAGTGTGGCAAATGTGGGACTGTACACGCAAGAAAACAATGTCCAGCATCATGGATGAAGAATTGTGCTATGTCGTGCATCATGTCATGTCAAATCTGCCAGTATCAGATGAAAAGTTGCAGATAATTAAAGACGAAACAGCAAAAGATGTCTCTTTCAAACATCTTACATCTGTACTACTGAATGGTTGGCCAAAGAACAAGTCACAACTCCATGTCAGTATTAAAGAATACTGGAAGCACCAAGATGAACTGACCATCATGGATTGATAATCAAAGGAGAAAAATACTGATTCCACATTCTTTAATACAAGAAATGTTGAAATTAGTACATATAGGTCATATGGGGATAGAAAAGTCAAAGCAACGAGCAAGAGACATTCTGTTCTGGCCTAATATGAACACACAAATTGTGGACATGGTATCAAAATGTATTTGTCTGGAATATCGCAAATCGAACCAGAAAGAACCAATGATACCAACACCAATTCCGGATGGTCCATGACAAACTGTAGCAATTGACCTGTTTATGCTAGACAACACTAACTATTTGGTTGTGGCAGACTACTATTCCAAGTTTTTTGAAGTTATGAAACTTGAGAATACTCGCAGTAGCACAGTTGTAAACTACACCAAGTCCATCTTCTCAAGACATGGAATACCATTTAAAGTCAGAAGTGACAATGGACAATATACACTCAGAAGCGTGTCTCATTTCTTAAACTGTGCATGTATGTAGAGGGAATTTTGATACAACTCATGAACTCAATAAATGTACCAGGAAAGCAATGAGTACGATAATATAGCAGGATATAATTAATGTACACATAATCCATGGTAGTTGGTGTGGCAAATCAGACAAAAATGGTATTTGTCCTCAATTCTAGCAAGTTGAGAGAGTCTCCCCGTTTCTATTTTTAAATCACCTATCAAGCAATAAATAATTATCCGAATGACTAATTTAGTATTTTTTCACACTGGAAAGTAAGTTTAAATATTATATTGGTCAAGTTTCGAGTACTTGTTTAAGAAATGTCGATTGGACATATTTACAAAACTTCATTTGCTTCGTCAAAGCTCCATACTTGAGATGCATACGTTACAATTGGTAAATTTATTTATATATTTAGGACTCACGTTTTTCTCCTGTGCAACCAAGACAATGTTCCACGTTCCTTTGCCACGATTACTATTCACCACACGACGTGTGATTTGTTATAGTATTTTCGCATTAATCTATTAACACGTTATTACCCGGACGCAATTACAAGAAATGCATTTTTTGTTTTCAAGTTTTATAAACTTCAAACCGTTTTTAAAAGGCATAGACTGAAATATACTTGACATAATAAAGTTCCATACATACATAATTTGACTTGCCCAACATATTGTGCAAGTAATGAAACAGTAGGTTAGACAATTACATAGGACATCGAAGAATAAAACTATTTTCAAACTTCTATTATTTCCTAATATGACGTCATTGTCAATATACCCCAGAAAATTCGACATTTTACAATGGTCTGGGCATAAATAATGGTATCGATTTGCTTGAATCCTTATTACTCGACGTGTTAGAAAATTTGCCAATGTTTTTGTAATTCTTTGGGCGATATATCATTTTAAATCGCTTGAGTGTGTGCCCAAAGTATGAGATTTCATGTCTTTCACATGAAATTTGACCAAGTTGGGGGTAACTTCTTTTCGGGTGCGATTTAACTTTTTGGCTGACTGATTTTGTTCAAAGTTGACAGGCATCACACATCCGCATTTAGGTGGAAAACAATTCCATGGTAACGCTCGAAATCCTGATTATGTGCCCGTGGTTTTGCGCAAAGCAAAACATTCAATAAAAATGTCGGACATACCTCATTCTGTTCGGCATCCCAAATTGTTTGTTTTATTTTTGAGTCGAGGCCGCTGGTTTTAGTAACAAGCAAGTTCATGAAGAAATTGTTTTGTCAGGCCTAGCAGTGAGCCATTCAGGCTTCCATCTGGTCTGTCTGTACTGTCTATGATTTCTTGCCTGGAACGACTTTGTTCAAAGTTGATATATAAGCTGGTCAGACCTGTACTACAGTTATGCAAAACAAAAATTGACTACAAATCTTTAATTCTTTGCGTCCCTCAGCGGCTTGTGTCTATTGAAATAACTTAAAAAGGTAAGTACAATTTCTCATCACACACCTCTTTCTGCTCTCATAAATTTCAATATATATATGATAAGAGTTTAACATGTTCTGCTCAAATTCTAGAAACAATATTTCCTATTGAGATTATTTGCATCGCGTATCATTCGTATACCGTTCCGTAATCCAAACCAGTATTTGATTATGTATTTAACATTTTAATATAAAATGAAAGTAACCATCCTGGTATACTGAAATATTAAGAATTTGCATTTCCTATAATGTAGGATGTCATATTTTTATATAAATCATGATTCAATTAGTCGCAGGCGGAGGGGGTGTAGATCTGTTTTCAAATCTACCCTGAAGTTCTAATGAACAACCTTTAGACCCATAACATCGGATCAAGCATTAACACCATTCATATTATGCAAACACATGAATACTTAAGACGTTGGTGCATTGTACTTTGTACGCGTGTCAGATCGTTATTTTTCTCATTTTAGTCGTGATCTTCTTAATATGCAGAGACACCATTTTCAAAGAAATCAGCGCGACCCATATTTTTTACAAAATCAGTGATAAACCAATCAATTCCCATGCGTGTGATGTTTGTGGCGCCGTTCTATAATGTCATCAACAAACATTGACGCTGATTCAATTTTTTGAGTGGATATATCAAAACATATCATCCACGATTTTTAAATACAGAATGGATCAATTACATGTTTGGCGGCTTCTATAATTTCCCCTGGATATATCTTCCTAACTCTCGAGTAAACGATGACCTCCATGTCATTGATTGTAAATGTATAGCAAGTTGCACGTTTTCAATTTTCATGAAAGTACTCAGCAAGTTCTGTATGCTTGCTTTTCTAGCAACTCTTCTTGTTGAATTTTACCGAATAATCCAACACATCATTTGTATTACATCATTGCGACTCCACTAAATATTGAAGCCATAATCTAAACACTAACTGCGCATGTGTCAAGAAAATAAGCTGCACGTGACGGCATTGAGAGCATTCTAAACGCGTAATTTTTCGCTGGATACA